TAAATTAAACTGAAATAAATTATATAGTTAATAAATTATTTGTTAAATTTAGCCCAACAAAAAGGTAAGGAGAGAAAATCAGAGCTGAGGTCTAAATTACAAGAGTTCTTGGGCCAGAATACAGCAAAAAACCAGTATATAACAAAAAAATTACTAGGATGAAGTCCTACAAGGTTTGAGGTTAGAATCTCCCCAATACCAAAACTTGTTTATCATAAAAAATAATAATAAATAAAAAAATAAAAAGCTTATCATGAACAACATTTCTGTTCTCCAAATCCAGAATTTGGCCTCTAAACTTAATTTGATGTACCTAAGAGAAAATGAACAAAAATGGATTCTCTCAGGAGCCTGGCAATATATATCTTTACAGCGTGATGGACTCCAATTTCTGTGAAGTTATAAAGTGGGAAATCTAGTTAGAACGTTCATTTAATCTTTCAATTTGGCAGTCTTGGAATAACAAAATCAGATTTCCATTCTTAAATTGTTCTTTCTTTGAATCCCATACTTAAGTCACACTTTGTGCCTCCTGCCAAAATCAGTGTCCTGCATCATGGCTACAAACTCACTGTAGTCAATGCGCCCATCCTGCACAGAACACACACCATAACCAATACAAGAATATCAAATCAGCAGTAATTTTAACCAAAGAAATGAGAATTCACTTAAACCAGTGAATGTTAAGTTACTTACATTGTCCTGATCAACTTCGCGTATTATCTCTTCCAAATGAATATCTTCCAAGCCAAAATGCTGGCAAGCCTGTTGGAGCTCATCTTGAGTGATGTATCCACTCCCGTCTTTGTCAAAGTATGAGAAGGCTGCATACAAATGATCCTCTTTCTGGATCTTGTTTAGATGGAGCATGGCTGCTATGAATTCACTGTAGTCAATGGTGCCATTGTTATCAACATCTGCCTGAAATTAATTTAAGAAAGGGAACATTAATCCCATCCTAAAATCACTGATGATAGTTGATCTTTTGCTTTCAAGAGTCACAGTGGCATGGCACCCCAGAATCCTCCCATGTCTAGACTCTTTTCTTGCAGAAGTCCTTCTAGTATATTAATGGTTATCATGATTGATATCTATGTTTATAACTGCATAGTTTCCCACCCATAACTTCTGAACCTCAGCCTATCTGTGTGTATAATGCAAGTGCAGAAGTTGTACTTGTATCTCATGATCGAGTGAGAAACACTAGTCTTCTCACGAACCAAGTTAATAATTCAACAATACCAAATTTAAACTAATAATGCTTACCGCTTCCATTAAGTGGATAATTTCAGAATCCTTGAGATTAGCACCCACTCTTTCCATACCATTCTTTAGTTCCTCTAGTGTGATATGTCCACTATTATCTACATCTATCATCTTGAACATTTGTTTTAAGCCTGCAATTTCCTCTTCCGAGAGTGTCTCAGCAATGACCTAAATAACAACCACAACCAGAAAATTATGGAGAAAAATGCAAGTCATAACCCAAAATTCTAAATAATCAGTAGGAGATTCTCAAACTTTAGAGAACAGATGTAAAGAAGAAACAAACTCTTATTGCTATTCGTTTTAGCCTGTTCATAGCTGAAAATTGCTTCAAGCGGGACAGGACAGCAGAATCAAGAGGTCTATCAGGAGCAAGACCATCCACCTGAACCCAAGGGTGGCCTATGCAAGAATAAAAGCAAATAAGACTAGCTATGGTATTGTAATGCAAGATACAAATTCAGAAATGAAACTTGCTTATAATGATTTAGTAACTACAAAATACACTTGGAGAAAAATGATTTTGTACCTCATATTCTCATAATTTTTTCAGGACAATAAATTACTTAGAAAACATAGACCTGGTGATGATAATTGGAGTTCTAAAGGGAAACCAAGTTCGATAAGATCATGTGTTTAGTTTTGCGGAGGACATTTTACTTATGATTGATATTTAGCACATGACACGCGCTGGTTTGAAGGTTCTTGATGTGCTTACAGATGATATAGAAAGATATACAGTACACACATTATATGAATGGTAATATGCTTATTTTTCCATTTAAATCACTGACATAATCTCATGCAGTTTCATTCTTACTCTTCATACTTCAGGATAGGTCCAAGTTATTATCCTTTTTGAGCATTGAGAATGGAAGTCCTCAATATGGTGTGTATTAACAAATTAAACTTTGTGGGCAAGAATTATTAGAAAAGTAAAAAAGACAAAAACAGGATGTTCAAAGGTTCAGAATGGTGATAAATTCATGATTGTTAGGAAGAAGAATAAGTGTATCAAATTGTCTAATGTCCTAATGTCCTACAGTGTCTGTCCGTGTATGCTTCCACTTCATTTTAATTAATCTACTTAGTAGACTCTATTCCCATGTTGCCACCCAAGATACAATGAGATGATAAATTGATAATGAGAGAAACATACCCTGTATCACTAAATCTACTATCTTTAGCCAAGTAGAAGATAACAGAAACCATATGCATGGTTTCTCCGCTGTATGCTACTGGAATATGATTGTCCACACACTCACAATTGATATAGTAATAAGCAAGACATTCAGAACAAATAAAGAAGCACACTCACAAAGAACTTCATGGGCTGTCAGCCGCTTTTTAGGATCCCTCACAAGCATTCTTCGAACTAGATCTTTCGCATCATCAGAGATGCTAGGCCATGGTTCTGAAACGAAATCAAGCTCACCTTTCAAAACCTGCTCAAATATGCCTTGTTCCGTTTCTGATGCAAAATGTAACATGCAAAGATATCAGATGTAATTGAATATATGTCTTGAAGCATTTGTTGAAGCTTTAAAATAGAAAAAAGACATGGGCAAATTTTCACCATCCCAGAATGGAGGGACCCCACAAAGTAAAATATAAATAATTACTCCTGCACTCCATACATCACATTCTGGACCATAATGCTTCCGCAACACTTCTGGAGCCACATAGTAGGGGCTCCCAACCACATCACTGAATGTTTCACCTGAGAGGAATTGAATTAGTTCCTAGGCATACTGGAACAGATGAACCAAAAATTAAAAGGGCATGAAAACGTAGGGCACATACAAAACAAGGTTAATGTAGGATGTTTTAAACAATGACACAAAAAAATTACCTTTCAACGGCTAGTTAAGTCTAGCCAGATCTGAATAGATCTCCCCATCTTTTAAGTAATGGGTTTGGACATGGCATTCAAGTGTCTTTCTTACTCGTTAAAACTTATTAATTAATTCCTAAATATGTTCCAACAGTCCTACTGATATTTATTTCTACATGCATGCAATTATTAGGGGTGGAGATGCTTCATGAGGATTATGCTGAAAGGGAAATGAAGGTAATAAAGACTTCATTCCAAATGTAGCATGGAGGAAGAGAAATTATGCAGAAATTACCTGGTCTAAAAAACATTGAGAGTCCAAAATCAATTGTTTTAAGTGGAGACTCCTCTCCATGGTTGATGAAGAGGAAATTCTCAGGCTTTAGGTCTCTATGCATAACACCTAAAGAATGGCAAGCTTCCACAAAACCAACTATAATTCTGGCAAGCTCAGCTGCCTTTCTCTCGGTATAATGCCCTCTCTGAATAATTCTATCAAAAAGCTCTCCACCTGCACAAAGTTCCATAACCACATGAACTGCAACAGCATCCTCATACGCACCCACAATTTGTATAACATTAGGGTGACCTGCCAAATGGTGCATTATCTGAATCTCCCTCCTAACATCCTCAATATCCTCTTCGGTGGTCAACTTCCTCTTCACAATGGATTTACAAGCAAACTCCTTTCCAGTGGCTTTCGCTATGCATAAAAATGTTGTCCCAAACTGTCCTTGCCCTAACTTCCTCCCAAGGCTATATATTTCCTTCATATTCTCGGTTTTCCTTCCTAACACTGACTCCAGTTGCAGTCCTAAACTTGACACCCTCTTCATATGAGGTTTTTTGGCATTTGAAAGATCTGAAGCCTTACTCTCTTGCTCCTTCACTTCTCTATCATGTCCATCTGGCTTAGCTTCTCCATCCTGCATCTTCACAGGTTCAGGAGGTGTGTTCTGGACCAACATTTGAGCATTGGAACCTTTAGAATCATCAGAAGCTTTGGATTTGGATCCATCAGAACCCGCATTGTGTTCACTTTTCTGGTCACTGCCCTCTTCCTTAGTTGGATTTAACCTGCCATCCTGTGGGTGGCCTCGGAAAGCTTGCGTAACAGATTGCAAAAATCCATTACCCTGAAGTTTTGGTCCTACACATGTGTTCCCCATCAAAATTTCCCAATTCTCAAGTCCTTATTATCAACCCTTCCTTATGAATTCCCACATCAAAATTGACCCTTACTAATCCCATTAAAAACCCCAATGCATTCAAGCCTAACCTGCGGAAAGAACAAATCTAAGACCCTGAACGAACCAAACTCTTCCCCTTTCTGTTCCAACTAGCTCCTAACCTGGAAACCCTCATCCCACCCCTCAAAGATCAAACTAAATGGATCCCAAATTTCAACTTCTATCATGAATTGAACACAAAATCATCTCAAAATCTCAAAACAAAAGGAATCCAATTCAACAGATTCCAATACAACCCTATAACCAAAACCCAATTGTTAAAAAAGACCAGAATCAAACATATGGAATAATACAAAAGAATCGAACTTTCGCTATAGGCAAGAGAATGGATTCATGGGTCATGAACAAAAACTGTGAAAAGGAAGAATGCGGGAAAAAAATGAATAGAAATGGAGAAGGGAATTGAAGGAAATCGAACTTTTGGCTTACAGAGGGATCAATTTGCTATCAATTCCTTTCTCTCTCCCAGGGGAAAATGCAAGAGATCCCATATTCAGGGTGTTCCGGGGAAAAGAGAGGTTGGAGGTGAAATTTTCCATAATTAGGGGAACAAACCATAGGAACTTCATGAAATAACTGGTATGAATCTTTGCTGTATGGTTTTGGTGATTGCATTGCATGCATGGGCGATGGCGGATGGACCATAATTCCCTCCCGTCTTTCACATGCAGTTTTCTTTGGCCACGTATACGTTGCATAACTTGCATTCTGCCATGCCCGCAGGAAACAGGGGTATGCAACTGTTCGTATAAGAACATAATTTTTTATAAATTTGTCTAATTAAAGATGTAATCTTATTTTATTGATGAAAATTAACATATTTCAAAATTTTGTAATGCACATTATAAAAGCCTTTTTTTTTTATCAGAAATGGTTTTTTAGGACGTACTGCATAAAAGAATGTAATTTCAGCACTAAAATTATTAAAAATTTATATTTATATTTATTTATTAAAAATATTTTAATAATTCTAATATTAAAATTGTAATCTTTTTTGTTTAGTTTATGCAGAAAAACACCAACATCTTTTTTTAATCATTTTTCATGATCCTCGGTCTAATGGATATCATTTTTAATTGATCAAATAAAAATCACCTCTTATAAATTACGTATTTAAATCTCATTGATTACATTTTTCCTTCTTCTTAATCTCACATTTAAAAATAATAGTAAGAAATATATAAAAGTAACAATAAGAGATTACCATTATTATCAATTCAAGCTCGAAATTTTAAGGTACCACATCTAATTTTATACCAAGATGGTATAGGTGGAAGACTGGAAAATTGGGTTAATATTGTCCTAGCGTATACTGTATGCAGGAATATGGTTTTAAACTTTACAAATAAATTTCAAGTCACTGTTCCACAAATCATATATGGATAATAGACCTACATCACCTTCTTTCTCATGGGTCCAATGCTTAGAGAAAATTGTGTATGCCATCAGGTCAAGGTCAAGGTGAGTGCGCCCTCCAATCTAGACTAGCATAGGTTTGCTCAGATCAAGTTTTAATTGAACATAGATCTTTAGCTGCAAATAAAACATGGAAAAAAGAGATTTTCTTTTTTTTTTTTTTAGCTTAGATTGTGTAATGAAAAATAATATTTTTTTATTATTTAATTTACTTTTTTTGTATATTATGTGACTCAAAATTAAAATTTTTTATTTTTAATAAAAAAATTATCATTAAATTATTTAAATTATTAATAAAAATTAATTCATATTGTTCTCAATTTAGACTAAACTCAAATATAAAAAAAAGATATACAAGTACGTAATTTTATAATTACAAATGAAATTACATAACTTCAAAATAAAGCTTTCAAATAATAAAAAAAGTATTTTAAAATAAAATTAAACATTAAAAGTGTAATTCAAATACTAAATTTATTAAAATATATTTAATATTTTTTTTATTTTCATTCAATAATTATAATTTAACAATTTTAATATCACAACTACATTTTTAATATATAATCTAGACCGAAACACATGAATCTTTTAAAATAAAAAGAAAATATGTTCAGAGAAAATCTGTTCGGAGTTCGGACTGATGTCATTGTGATTCTAGATTGACTTCTTCCTTCCCCGGAAGTCATCGAAGAGCATGCATATACAAAGTTCTAGAACTTTCTATTAACAATTTGCCCCGGATAATGCCTTGAATTTGCAGTTTGAACATAGCCGATGCTTGTCGCAGTGAGACATTGAAATGTTCGTTCTGTTGTGGTCAAAAGAGAAAAAGACAACACTACAATTTAAATGAAGAAAATTTCACCTAACATTATATGTTTCGTTATTTTATGAATATTGTACGATTAGTTTATCAACGCAGAAGAAATTAAAGGATGCTGACTTTGACTTGACTGAATTAAAATTTGTCTAATCCACCCCTCCTTTTTGAATTTTCAAATAAAGGGGTTAAAGTTGAACACATAAAAAATGTCTAGACAGAATCGCCGGCACAATTTATTGTCAAAACATCGAAAAAAAAAGGATTAAAATAATACAATTAGGTCAAATGCTAATTTTAATCCCTACATTTTAAATTTTAAATATTTGTACTCTCTAAATTATTTTTTGTACTTTTTGGTCCATAAACTATAAAAGATTACACTTTTTAGTTTTTTAGTTAATTTATTAAATTTATCTATATATATATATTTTTAATCTTAAATTTATAAATTTAAAACTAAATATATATTATAAGTTTAAGAATTAAAAATATGTATATTAAAAAAAATTTAACAAACTAACTTAAAAAAAAAATTTTAAAGAAAAGTACATTTTTCATAATTTAAGGATCAAAAAGTGAAAAAATAACTTGGGGACTAAAAATGTTCAGAATTGAAAGTTTGGGGACAAATTGGTATTTTAAACTATAACTAGAGTAAGAGTGTAAGACCAATTCAAAAGCAGACCAAATGTTTTGTCCTTTCTGTTTCAATAATTTTTTCTTCTTCATTTAGACTATAAATACATCTTTTCTGTCCTTGATTGAGTACTTCCAAATTTCACAAACTTGGCTTTTCCTAATACCAGGAATGAGTTGTACTTCAAGAAGAGAGCTCCAGTTGCAGGGTCCAAGGCCCGCCCCTCTAAAGATCAGCAATACATCATCAAAGATCAAGAAAACGAAGCTGAATGCTAAATCCCCGGTGGTGATATACGTCAAGTCACCGGAGATCATCCATGTTAGGCCGGAAGAGTTCATGGGGCTGGTGCAGAGTCTTACGGGGAAGGATGGTCCATCTTGTGATATAGAGGTGGATGAATCCATGTCTAGGAGAGATTTGGGTGCTGAAGAAGAAGAAACACTGAAGGTTGATTATGGTGATCAAGGCGTTGGAAATGGAATGTCTCCTACTTGGCTTCAGTTCCTAACTTCTTGTGTATAGAAGAAGAGCTAACAGGCATTGATGGATTAATTAGCTAGTGCGTAAGTGATATGTTAGTTTTTATATTTATGTTGCATTTTCCCTTTTGAACAATGTGAATTTTAGGGATAGAAGATTACATTGAGAGTCAAACCTTCATCTTAGCTAGGACCTTTTTGTGTATCAATTTACCTTTGTTTATGGGAGGCTTTGTTTATCACTACTTCAAGCAAATCTTTTTATACAAAAATTTATTTAAAAATATAAAATTTTAATTTTTAATTAATTTTAATAACTTTTATATATTTTTATTAATTTTGATTAATATTTTATATATTTTTAAATAATAAAAGATTAAAAAAAAAACTGTAACTAAACAATACAACGTTGTACTGACAAATAAGACCTTCCCAAAAAAATAAATTCTGTTGTAACAAAAAAAAAAAAAAAGAGGAATTTTTTGCCCAAAAAAGAAAAAAATGGATTCCATTTGTTCAAGGCCCATGGCCGAAATCATCCGTTCATAATTTCTAGCCCATATAAAACCCAGATATAATAAGCCCAACATCCAGTGTCTTCTACTCAATCCGTCAACCCCAGAAAACGTCCGAGCCCGACCCAAAAAACTCCAAGACGGCGACCCCAAAGGCCGTCAATCGCAGAAGGTGAAAACTGGCTTTAACGCCGTCAATGGCGGGAGGGAAACCAAATCGTTCAAATCAAAACCAAAACCCCCAAATTCCACCGCAACTCCCCCACGTCCCTCCGCCACGCCTGCTCTCTCCGGCGATGTCCTAAACTCCGATCATCCATATCAGATCATAGATTAACTTAACCATCGGAGTAGTGTCCATCTTGTATTGAGATTTTTTCCGGCTGTTTCCTTCTCCTCGATGCTTTCCGCGGCGAGCTTTTTCTGAAAGAGGTAACGCATTGATCTGATTTCGTTTTTAGCATTTCACAGAGTTGAATTCGATGATACGGTCTGGCTTTTTCCATGAAGTTTTAGTTTTTATGGTCGAAATTCAGGGTAATTTGATGTGGGTTTGGAATGCGGTTGTGGGATTGCTTGTGCTCTTTTATTTTCTTCGAAATGATGGTTTAGCATTCTATATTTATTTTCGTTGTTAAATTGCTACTACGAAAATGATAAAATTCCTCCTTTTAGCAGCAGCATAGCAAACCGCTCAAATTGTGTTTGATGGATTGATTCTTCTAGTTGCGGATAAGAAAAGGAGAGGAGGGATTCTTGTTGAGTGGAAAAATCCCACATTGAGGATATAATAAAGAAATATGTGACCTAAATACAAGGAGGGTTATCCCACCTGTTGTCAATTGATTTTAGGTTGGATGCAAGCCTTGTGTTGAAGCACATATGTCCTATAGCAGTACATTTTCTGGGAGGATTGACTTTTATTGCATAGTGTATAATAGTATCTCTTTTCGTCAAATGTATTCTAAAATGTAATAAATAGTAGCATCAAAATCAATATTGCCTTACTAGGAATTCAACTGACTTCAAAAGGGATTGCTTGTGATTACTTGTAGGATAGCAATATGGCAGAGGTAGCTGGACCTTCTACATTGCTGCCTTCTCTACAAATTGGAGGGAATACTCTCAAAGTTGGACTGATGATTAAGAGGAAGACACCATCAGAACTCAGAGTAAGTATATAAATTTTGTTCCATTATGTTCCACTATTTTTTATTTTAACTTTAGACTTGGACATGCTGGAATATCAGCAACTTTATTTTACAGTTCCTTAGTCTGTGTTTTATCTGTATGAGATAGGGGATAAATTGAATATAAAAGAATCAGACTGATAATCTTTTATAAATGCATTCGTTCTTATTGTTCAATGGCATGGTCTGTTCTTCACCTTTGAAGTGAAAAAATGATATAAGATATAATTAGTTTTATGTCTTTGAAGTTGAGTTTCTTCTCTCTCTCTCTCTTTTCCTTTCTTCTTTTTTTTTTTTTTTTTTTTGCATAAATTGGTGCCACTATTAATCTTTTATACATTATAGACCATGCTATGTATTCATGTTACCAAATCCTTTGAATTCGATTTGTTTTCATTTTACCATGCTCCTGCTTTACATGGTTGCTAGATTTGTGCATGTTAGTCTTGTGCTTTAAATTTCACTTTTTTTTAGTTCATTGTAAAGAATAATAAGTTAATAAGTGAAATAACATGCAATTTAGCTTTTACCTTGTAATTCAAAAAAGAAAGTCTTGTGGTTATAATCCATGCATGCATGCCAGGGAGAGCAGTTAAGGAGGAATAATACCATAGAAGTTCAAGATGAATCTCATCTCACTAGGTAAGTTTTGCTTTTCTGCTATATATATATATAGCTGCAAATATCTGATAACCTTGCTATCTGTCAGCAGCACTAGTCAGATGGATAATGGCTCCAAAAACCCAGATCTACCAAGGGTTCCAAGATATATTGACACCCATATGGATGGAGTGTATCCTGCCAAGAAAACCAGGTTCATTATGCCACCTAAAAAGGAAAGTGAGAAGGTTATTACATTTTCCATATATAACGACTCAGTTTACTTAGTGCTTCAATATGCTTTCTGTATTTAGTTGACAAGTCCGAATGCATTGCACTTGCATATTATGCTTTAGTAGTTCATTAATTAGCTCTATGATCTTTTACTTGTTATCAGGAAAATGGTCCAGTTGAGCAACCTTTCAGGCTGCAGAACATTTCCACATCTTTAAATTTAGCTGCTCAAAGAAGACAACTACCACAGTATGCCTCTCAGTCTCAACATCCTATATCTGGCTCATAACAAGGACTGTCCTCATCAGTTCTTTATGATTGTATGGCAGCCCAGAAGATTCTGATGTTTGTAAAGATGATGCTGCGCAAGCTCAACGTCCACTTGCAAAATGTAGTCAGGGTACATTTGTCAGTGTTGCTTTGCTTTCTTCAGGTGGTGAAAGATCATCACACTTGCCAGCTGTTGACCTGGTATAACTAATTAGTTATAACTTTCTATATTTCCTTAGTTATATATCTAGCTCATGGGACGTGATTTGTCTTTTGCAGGATAAAGCATTAAAAGGACTAGCTGCCCGTGAAGCAATTTCTAGCTTACACAATGAGTCTTCTGAAAGACTGGATGACCCTTCCACAACTGGAAATTTTCTCTCTGAATTCAATGTTCCAGGCCAAAAGATCCCTCTGGATCTTACCTTGAAAACTTTCATGCGGCTGGTGTCTTCTTCCTCCATGAATTGGTGAGTAAACCTAGTTTCTTATCGTATATGTTTCAAATTTCAAAAACAGGAGGCATTTTTATCCCTTGAGTTAATTGTTCTTATTATAGATATGCATATTTGAATAGAAACAGTCACATTAGACTGTAGTTCCAAAAAGTAGTGTCCTTCTTAAGTGAGGTGTATATAGCAGTCTTGATTACCAAAAATGAAAAGACTCATGCATTCGTAATTTGAGTATTGAAGCACATGATCCTTTCATTTAGATAAGTTTTCTATCTTCCTATGCAGTCTGTATCACTCTGATTAATGAGATGGGTTGGCATGCTTGTATTGTTAGTCCATAATTTATGTTGTAAGTTTTATTGTCTTGATGATCTCTTAACAATTTATCTTGCTCCGTGATACCAGTTTTCATAGGTCAATCGTATGCAGTCCGTATAACGGTGTACCCTTGTTTACATCCCAGCCTGGCTATTCTCCTGGTCAAAAGACTGGCAATAGCTCAGAGCTCAGATTGACTTCCCAATTCCTAAATACGAAGGCATTGTATTCATGGGTTTACCCTCAATCTACTCTACCACCCTCTATCATATCAGTTTTGGCCTCAGCAGCAGATGGAGGTTTGTTTGCAAAAGCCTTTTGGCTGATGCCTCCTTTCCCTCTCTTCTATGTCCTCCTCCTTTCACAGATATAAACTGGTTTGTTCCTTTTCTATCCCCTTTTCTTACTACAATTGTCCTTATTTTCTCCAGTGGAAATGGATTTCTTAAGAAAACGACAGCGAGTGTGGGAGGAATCATTTCGGAGTCTTTACTATATGTTTCGGAAGAACTCTTGCCATATCTTTTATGGTAAGCCATGTATCAGTGTCTTATAGATTCATCCTTAGTGCAACTTCCCTGTAGTTGGATTGCTAGCTCTGGTTTTCCTTGATGTGAACTGTAGATGAGTGATTCACTTTGAATGCTTTATTCTTTTCTCTTGGCCTGCTGATACTCATCGTGGAACTAATGTAATGGTTTGTGCTGGACTTTTCCTAGTTTGTACTTCACATTTTGTGGTGATGTTCACCGCTGCTGACAGTTTGGAGAGCAGCAGGCGCTCATGCCATGCTTATATTTCCCAGTCAACTGGAAGTCTGAGGTCACTGTTGAAAGAACACGTAAGACACAATTTTCAGCTTTTGCCCCTTTTTGATATGCATAATGAAGCAAAATGTTTGCCTAACTGTTTTTAATTGCAAGGACTGGATGTTTCTTTCTCAAATTTTGTTTTTAGTTACCTAGTTTTTTAGTATATTAGCTTCGGGGCTTGGATAGCTGATCGTTAATAAATAAAATTGCCAAGAAGCAAGTCATCAAACTTGTGTTGATATCTGCAATTCTGCATTTAGAAAAAGTTACCATCTTCTAGCAACCCTAACAAACATAAGGCTTCCATCTTTAGCTTCTGAAATCTGAGGACTAATATAAGCTGTTCCCAATCTCAAATTATCTTTTAACTTCTAGTCAGGAACATATGGCTTTTCAAGGGAATTATTTCTGATGATAGATTTTTGTAATGAAATTGTTTTTATGGGCTTTAATATGCTGTCAGTGTTTTATCATTTTTTACTAATTTTCAAGTACTCAGTGATGTCTGGTCTGCTGTTTCTCTTTGTTTTGGATATTCAATAGGATGTTTGTTTCTCTATGCCTCTTTGCCATTCAAAAGTAGAGCAAGTAACAACTGAAGATCTGGTGGAGCTCTCAGAGATTGAGAAGAACAATTTGGGCCAGGTTTGTATGATATCTATGGTTTCCATGTTCGTTTGTCATCATTTGGTCTTCATTGAATTCTGACCTAGGTAGACCGTGGATGCCTTTTTCCTATAATGTTTTGGGACATCAAAGTTGCAATCTTTAGCTTGCCCTGCCCTTAAAGTGTATCATTTGCATCTGGGAATGCCATAAAAATTTAGTTTTCAGAAGTTAAGAAGTATCAAAAGTGACCACCTCAGTTATGATTTTATCAGGCATGTATTGCTTCCTGTCTTTATAATTCAGAAAGGATTTTACTTAAAAATGAAAATTACTGCAGGCTCAACGCCAGAATACGTTTTCTGAAGTAGATAATACTCCACAATCTTTGCTGGCTTTCAATGGAAACGACAATGTACATGGTTTATATGAAATTTTGTTAAATTATAGGTATGGACAGAGTTTCTATCTCTTTTCCAGTTGACAATATACTTTACTTTTTCAAAAGCAACCTAAGCTACTTGGTTTTATTATTCTGCAAGGCCATCAGGTTGAAATTGATTGATTATTTCTCATCTCTATTGGATCTGACTAGTTTGCTTTTAATTGTCTTTAGATCTTTCTTGACCTTTTTGGGGGCTGCAGATGTCCCTGTGCTATATTCTCCCTCACAATTTCAGAATGCCGCTATTTCTACCCCAGAGGTAAGTGTTATCTTCATCATTTTTGAGCTGCCTGATGTGAATTATTGAGCTAATAAGTTACCATCTCAAATCTCGATTTCCAGGTTAGATGTATGGAAATAAGAAGAGATGATCTGAATAAAGGATGTTCGTCCAAAAACCGTAATTGCATTATAAATCCATCTACTGGTGTTTGCTATGGCATTGAAATCAAGGATACTTTTCTCCCACCATGGATAATCAGCAGTATATGTGCAGTCATGTGTTCTGAAGGGAGAAGCTTTGAGGCCAGGTATCCAGTCTACACACTGTAGTCCGTGATATGTCAGGTCATTGCTTGTCTACCCTATAATTAATTATCCAATTTGATTTCCCTTATCTACAGCTTCACAACAGAACGCACATCCATTGGACTAAATGTTGCACTTGGGGCAGTGTCTGAGAAAACTGATACTGAAGAAACAGTTAACGAAAGCACACAAGAAATAGCTAATGCCTTTGGTATTCCAGAAACTTTTGTTTCTCCTCACCTAAGTTCAGGTCTGCTAAAAGGCTTGAATTTTTCTAATAATTCATACACAGTTTCTCTATCGCCCGTATGACACTGAATGATTCTTGATCTGTGTTGGAGAAGCATATTTTGTTCTTCATTCTGATGCTTCTGCCACCTATATACTTTTTCACTGCATGTAACTTGCTCTTTCGGTTTTATGATTGATTAATTCCTCTTTTGTGGAAGGTATTGTACAAACAGCTCTGTTTTTAACATTCTTATACAAGGGGCAATGCAATTTGTGAATTTTGATTATGTATTATTTTTGGTATATGCAGTTTCAAACTAATACTTGTAGCTAGTTGAAGAGCAAATGTACAAATAAATATGTCAATTTTGCATTTTTTTTTATTTAAG